ACTTTTAAGTCAGTTTGACCAACTTTTAAGCTAATCCAAACAAGCTCTAATAGTAAATATAAAAATCAATGATGATGATAGAGTAGATGATGATGTAGTGTTCTCAATTATAATCACTTTTTGTGTTGTTACCTTTCTCAAATAATATTTATAATGTTTTTTTTCTGTTGTAAATCCATTGTATAGTATATGTGGATTATCCATTAGATTTATCCATTATTAAATGGGTTCATGTATAGTGCTTTCAAGGTGATAAGAACTTCCAAGATAACTATGTATCTATTAATTAGATGACTTTTGAAATGATATCTCAACACTATAAATACACACTTTAATAATAAGAAAATTTTTCTCCTCTATATTATACTTCTTGTCTTTTTCTTCTTATATTCTGAGTTTTCTTTACAATACATTATCTGTTAGGTAGTGGAACTTTTATTAATTTTAGGTTTTCCTATTTATTCTCTATTTTAGGTTTTCCTATTTATTCTCTATTTTAGGTTTTCCTATTTATTCTCTGTAACCAAAAATACTCTGATTTATTAATATAAATATACCTCACCGCCGTGGAAGTTTACTCACGGGGTTTTACCACGAAATATTGGGTTTTCTCTTTCTCTCTCTAGATCTCTCATCTCTTTCTCTTGAAAGTTCTTGTGTTCTTCATTCATCTAGTGTGTGTGCGTGAATTCGATCCTAACAACTGGTATCAGAGCTAAGGAGATTCAACACGATCAAAGAAGATGGATAGTTCGAAGCTTGGAATCGAGAAGTTTGATAGATCCGATTTCAGTTTCTGGAAGATGCAGATCGAAGATTATCTGTACCAGAAAGATCTTCACGAACCGTTGACCGGGGTGAAGCTGGAATCCATGACGGATGAGAAGTGGAAACTCAAGGATCGCCAGGCTTTAGGGTTGATTCGGTTGACTTTGTCAAGAAACGTGGCGTTCAACATCGTGAAGGAGAAGACTACGTCCGGTCTGTTGAAGGCACTGTCAAACATGTTTGAAAAACCATCGGCTATGAACAAGGTATATTTGATGCGTAGATTGTTCAATTTACAGATGTCTGAAACTGGATCCGTTTCTGATCATATAAACGAGTTCAATATGATTGTGAGTCAACTCAATTTTGTGGATATTAATTTCAAAGATGAAATTAAGGCATTGATTTTGATGTCATCTCTGCCCGAGTCTTGGGATACTGTTGTTGCTGCGATTAGCAGTTCTCGTGAATTTGAGAAACTGAAGTTTGATGAAATCCGTGATGTTGTTCTTAGCGAAAGTATTCACAAATGAGAAGTGGGAGATTCATCGGGCAGTGCTCTCAGCGTTGATCAAAGGGGGAGAAGTAAGACGAAAGGGCAAAATCAACATGGTCGATCAAAATCAAAGAAACGAGGAAAATCCCTGAACAGATCAAACGTGACTTGTTGGAACTGTGGAGAAAAAGGATACTTTCGGACGAACTGTATAAAGCCGAAGAAGAAACAGAATCAGAAATTTGGAGATGACAATAATTCTGTAAATTTTCAGCAGAGGACATTGGGGATGCTCTAATCCTTAGTGTGAACAGCCCGGTTGAATCATGGATTTTTTATTCTGGTGCATCTTTCCATTCGTCTTCAAGCAAGGAGTTGTTCCAAAACTTTAAATCTGAAAATTTTGGAAAAGTATATCTTGCTGATAATAAATCCTTAGAGATTGAAGGAAAGGGGGATGTTTTCATAAAGACCACCTCAAGAAACCAGTGGACATTGGAGGATGTCAGATATATTCCTGTGATCAAGAAAAATCTGATCTCTGTTGGACAGTTGGATAGCACGGGATATGCAGCAGAGTTTGGGAAAGGTTCGTAGAAGATCGTAAAAGGTGCTATGGTAGTAGCTCGTGGCACCAAATCTGGAACCTTGTACACCACTGCAGGGTGTATAAACATGGCCGCTGTTGCTGAAGGTGCTTCCGGTTCATGTTTGTGGCATAACAGACTTGGACACATGAGTACTAAAGGAATGAAGATGCTGGTTGCAAAAGGAGCATTAGAGGGTTTGAAGTCTATTGATATGGGTCTTTGCGAGAGCTGTGTTATGGGCAAACAGAAAAGAGTAAGCTTCACAAAGACTCCTAGAGAGCCAAAGAAAGTGCGGTTGGAAATGGTCCATACAGATGTTTGGGGACCATCTCCAGTATCATCACTTGGAGGATCCAGATTCTATGTTACCTTCATTGATGATTTCAGCAGGAAGGTATGGGTTTACTTCTTGAAGCATAAGTCAGATGTGTTTGAAACTTTCAAGAAGTGGAAAGCTGAAGTTGAGAATCAGACCGGTTTGAAAGTAAAATGCCTAAGGTTTGACAATGGAGGAGAGAAATTAGAGTTCAAGGCATTCTGTGCAGCTGAGGGAATCAGATTGATGAGAACAGTTCCTGGTAAGGCAAGACAGAATGGAATTGCTGAGAGGATGAACAGAACATTGAATGAGCGTGCAAGGAGTATGAGGATACACTGTGGGCTGCCCAAAACACTTTGGGCGGATGCTGTGAGCACAGCTGCATACTTGATCAACAGGGACCATCAGTTCCTTTAGGGTTCAAGATTCTAGAGGAGGTGTGGACAGGAAAAGAACTCAAGTACTCACACTTGAGGACTTTTGGTTGCACTGCTTATGTTGATCCAGAAAAGAGAGATAAGTTTGATGCCAAGGCTGTAAAGTGTTACTTCATAGGATATGGTTCTGATTTGTTTGGTTACAGGTTTTGGGATGACAAGAACAGAAAGATCCTGAGACATTGTGACGTGACATTTGATGAGTTTGTCCTGTACAAGGACAGAGAGCAGAAGGTTCTAGAGATTACAAAGCAAGTGGGAGTTAAGGTTGAGTTGGAGAAGAGTAACCCCAGAGATGTCGAAGCAGATACTCAACCAACTCCTACTGAAGAATCTGAAGTGGAGCAAGTTACACCTGAGCAGGTGTTAAGGAGATCGTCCAGATCCATCAGGGCACCAGATAGGTATTCACCTTCATTACACTATCTATTGCTGACTGATGAGGGGGAACCAGAGTCTTTTGATGTGGCCCTACAGGTGGAGGATTCGATCAAGTGGGAGCAAGCCATGGATGATGAGATGAGGTCACTTGAGAAGAATGACACATGGGTGTTGACTGAGTTACCTGCAGGGAAGAGAGCTTTGCTGAACAAGTGGGTGTTTAGAATCAAGATTGAACCAGATGGCAAAAGAAAGTTCAAGGCTCGTTTAGTGGTTAAAGGATATTCACAAAGAAAAGGTATTCATTATGCTGAAATATTCTCTCCTGTTGTGAAGTTAACCTCTATTCGAATTCTATTGAGTATTGTTGCATCGGAAAATTTGCATCTAGAGCAAATGGATGTAAAAACAACGTTTTTACACAGAGATCTGGACAAAGAGATCTATATGCAGCAACCGGAAGGATTTGTGGTTCTAGGCAGGGAACACATGGTGTGCAAGCTCACCAGGAGCTTGTATGGACTAAAGCAAGCACCAAGGCAGTAGTACAAGAAGTTTGACTCCTTCATGACCAAGAGTGGATTCTGCAAAGCTGAAAAGGATCCTTGTTGTTACTTCAAGAAATACTCTGATTCATATGTCTTTCTACTCTTGTATGTGGATGATATGTTGATTGCAGGATCTAGTATGAGGGAGACTAATAAACTGAAGACAAGGTTGTCTGCAGCGTTTGAGATGAAAGATTTGGGTCCAGCAAAATAGATTTTGGGGATGAAGATTTCTCGGGATAGATCTACTGACACTTTAAATCTATCTCAGGAGTTGTACATTGAGAAGGTGCTGAGCAGATTCAAGGTTAATGATGCTAAACCTAGGACTACTCCATTGGCAAATCACTTTAAATTGTCAAAGGAGCAGTCACCCAAGACTGCCAAGGAGCGTGATCACATGGCACTTGTTCCATATGCTTCACCAGTTGATAGTTTGATGTATGCTATGGTCTGCACTAGATCTGATATAGCACATGCAGTGGGAGTAGTTAGCAGGTACATGGCAAACCCTGGGAAAGAGCATTGGGAAGTTGTGAAGTGGCTTCTGAGATATCGGAGAGGTACATCCAGTACTTCACTTTGTTTTGGCAAAGGCAAGGTGACTCTACAGGGTTTTGTGGATGCTGATCTTGGTGGGTATGTTGACTTGAGCAAGAGTACATCCGGGTACATTTACACCATAGGTGGAACAGCAGTGAGTTGGATGTTCAGGCTTTAGAAGTGTGTTTCTCTTTCATCTACTGAAGCTGAGTATGTGGCAATAGCTGAAGCTAGGAAAGAGATGATATGGCTGGCAGATTATGTTGAGGAATTGGGCAAGAAGCAGAGCGAGAAGATTCTTTACTCAGATAGCCAGAGTGTCATACAGTTGGTGAAAATCCAGTCTATCATTCGAAGACAAAGCACATCAGAAGGCGATACTATTTCATTCGCAGGGCAGTGGAGGATGGTGATATGTGCTTGGAGAAGATAGAGGGTGCAAAGAACCCAGCAGACATGTTGACGAAATGTGTTGATGTTGGGAAACTGAGGTTATGTAAAACCTCGGTTGGTCTTCTGTAGTTGTTGCTACAGATGTTGCGGTGCGGTAAAGATTTTGATGATGAAAAGATTTTTTTTGAGAATGTATTTTTTGGATGACTGAGTCAGTCTCCAAGTGGGAGAATTGTTAGGTAGTGGAGCCTGATTAATTTTAGGTTTTCCTATTTATTCTCTATTTTAGGTTTTCCTATTTATTCTCTATTTTAGGTTTTCCTATTTATTCTCTGTAATAAAAAATACTCTGATTTATTAATATAAATATACCTCACCGCCGTGGAAGTTTACTCACGGGGTTTTACCACGAAATATTGGGTTTTCTCTTTCTCTCTCTAGATCTTTCATCTCTTTCTCTTGAAAGTTCTTGTGTTCTTCATTCATCTAGTGTGTGTGTGTGAATTCGATCCTAATATTATCAGCATGAAGTTGCTACTTGCAAAGGTATTACATAAATCTTTTTATTTAATTCACATATTCTCTCATAATTTAAATATGTCGAATTTATCCAAACTTGAGTTTGTGACATTAGATATTTCTTGAAAGAATTATCTTTCATGCGTACTCGATGCTGAGATTCACTTGGCTGCTAAAGGTCTTGATGCCACTATTACTCAGGGAAATGAAGCATCGAGTCAAGATATGGTGAAACCTATGATTTTCCTTCGTCATCATCTTTATAAAGGCCTGAAGATTGAATATCTGACGATAAAAGATCCATTTGAATTGTAAACTAATTTAAAGGGGACATATGACCACCTAAAGGCAACAGTGTTGCCAAGAGCTCGTTATGAGTGGATGCATTTACGGTTTCAAGATTTTATGATCGTAATTGAGTACAACTCTGATGTATTCATGATAACCTCCCAGTTGAAATTATGTGGGGAGACTATAAAAGACGAGGACATGTTGGAAAAGACACTTACTACTTTCCATGCCTCAAATGTGATATTGCAGCAGCAATATCGTGAAAAGGATTTTCAGAAATATTCCGAACTAATCTCATGTCTTTTGGTGGCTGAGCAACATAATACTCTTTTAATGAAAAATCATGAAGCTCGTCCAACTGGAGCTGCTCCATTACCGGAGGCAAATGTGGTGGGAACACGTGATCAATCTAAAGTAAAAAGAGATGATCATCATGGCTATAATAATGTACAGGGACGTGACAAAGATAAGAGACGATAAACTAATAGTCGAGGTGTGGTCATAATAAAAGGGAGAAACATGAGTTCTCAAAATAACCCTTCAAAAAGTAATTGTCGTCGTTGTGGCATGAAAGTTCATTGGAAGGATGAATGTTGCACACATGAGCATTTTGTAAGGCTCCATCGAAATTCCTTTAAAAAGAAAGGAAATAAAAGTGGTGCTTCTTCTTCCAATACTCGAGCTGAGTCACATATGACTCTTAAAGATGATGATACGCCGGGAAGATCTTAGAAATATGATAAGGATGTTCAAGCAAATTTGGCTTTAAAAGATGATGTTTTTGATGGCCTTGGTGACATTACTCATATGGAAGTTGATGACTTCTTTGGAGATCGAAACTGATGTTTGATTAGCTGGGGGATAAAGTCTGTTAATATTTTACATAATATTTTACTTATGTGTTTTCAATTATTATGTTATTCATGTTGAAGTATTTAAATTTTCGTTGTTAATTTTGTTTCTTCCTTTATTTTAATGTATTTTATTTTAATGAAAATTAATAAAAATTCTCAGTTGTCAGTTGAATTCAAGATGAGTAATGGAGATGTATGCCTTCTTGATAGTGTTACAACACATACAATATTAAAAGAAAAGAAATACTTTTCTAATTTTGTTATGAAAATGACATATGTCAACACAATATCAGGTAGTACAAAATTAATTGAGGACTCCGGAAGAGCGACCTTATTACTACCAGGAGTGACAATATTAAGCATTGATAATGCATTATATTGTAGTAAGTCTCAAAGAAACTTATTAAGTTTCAAAGTTATTCGCCAAAATGGATATCATGTTGAGACGACTAATGAAAGAAAGGTTGAATACCTTTACATTAAACAATTAATGTAGAGAAGAAAATTGTGCATGAAAAATTACCTGCACTTTCTTCTGGGTTGTACTATACAAGTATAAGTACAGTTGAATCACATGGCGTAATAAACAAAGGTTTACTAATTTTAATGATTTTATCATTTGGCAAGACCGGTTGGGCCATTTTGAATTTAATATGATGCGCAAAATCATTGAGAATTCACACGGGCACATCTTAAAGAGCCAAAATATCCTTCAATCAAAGGAATTCTCTTGTGATGCTTGTTCTCAAGGAAAGTTGATCACTAAATCATCAACAGTTAAGGTTGGAATTGAATCCCCTGCGTTTCTGGAACGTATACAGGGTGATATATGTGAACCAATTCAACCTGCATGTGGACCCTTTAAATATTATATGGTCTTGATAGATGCTTCTACAAGATGATCACATGTGTGTTTATTATCAACTTGCAACATGACTTTTACGAGATTGTTGGCTCAAATAATAAGATTGAAAACACATTTTCAGACTATACAATAAAGACAATCCGTCTAGATAATGCTGGTGAGTTTACATCTCATGCATTTAACGATTATTGTATGTCTACTGGTATAACAGTTGAACATTCAGTTGTGTTTGTTCACAGTCAAAATGGTTTAATAGAATCATTGATTAAACGTCTGCAATTGATCAATAGACCATTACTAATGAGAACAAAGTTTTCTGTGTCTATGTGGGGGCATGCTATTTTGCATGCAGCAGCACTTGTGCGCATAAGGCCGACCAATTATCATGAATTCTCCCCATTACAATTGACTTTTGGTCAAGAGCCAAACATTTCCCATCTTAAAATTTGTTGGATGTGCGGTGTATGTCCCAATTGCTCCACCACAACGCATAAAGATGGGCCCCAAAGAAGGTTGGGGATATACGTTGGGTATGAATCTCCTTCAATCATAAAATATTTGGAGCCTATGACTGGAGATTTATTTAAGACAAGATTTGTTGATTGTCATTTTGATGAATCAGTATACCCAACATTAGGGGGAGAACATAAGTCGTTGGGAAAAGAGATAGATTGGAATTCATCATCTCTATCTTATCTGGATCCTCGAACAAACCAATGTGAGCAAGAAGTTCAAAGAATAATTTATTTGCAGAACATTGCAAATCAGCTACCAGATGCATTTATTAATCTTCCAAGGATTACTAAATCGCATATTCCAGTTGTTAATGCTCCAGTTCGAGTTGATATCCCGATGGGACAAATTATTTAGGCAAATGAGTAGGATAAAATTTCTCGAAAGAGAAAAGGAATAAATGATCAAGATGATCATGGGTTGAAAGAAATTTTTCAAGATGAGACCCAAGTCATAACACATAATGATGAGGAGGTTCAAACTTCTGAAAATAATGAAATTTCAAAGAATTATGTCTCGACGAGAAAGTTGTGGAATCAAAATAATGTTGTGATTGACAACATATTTGCCTATAATGTTGCTATTGATATAATGCAACAAGATGAAGATTTTGAGCCAAAATCTGTTCACGAATTTAGACAGAGAAATGATTGGCCAAAATGGAAGGATGCAATTCAAATTGAATTGGCTTCACTAGAAAAACGTGAATTTTTTGGACCAATAATCCGAACACATGAAGGTATCAAGCCAGTAGGGTACAAATGAGTTTTTGTAGGAAAAAGAAATGAGAAAGGTGAAGTCATGAGATATAAGGCTCGATTCGTTGCTCAAGGTTTTTCTCAAAGACCTGACATTGATTATATAGAGACATATTCTCCAGTGGTAGATGCAATCACCTTCAGATATCTCATAAAATCTGGCTGTTCATAAAAAACTTGAAATGCGTCTAATGGACGTTGTCACAACTTATCTATATGGCTCATTAGACCACAACATTTTCATGAAAATTTCTGAAGCATTCAAAGTGGTTGAAGTATACAAAGATTCAAGAGAAACTTGTTCAATAAAGCTTCGGAAGTCTCTGTATGGATTGAAACAATTAGGAAGGATGTGTTACAATCGTCTGAGTGAATATTTGTTAAAGAAAGAGTAAAAAAATGACCGATTTATCTCTGCATTTTCATTAAACAGTCGGGGTATGTGTATCTTGATGATTTGAACATCATTGGCACTCGTAAAGAGCTTTTAGAAGTTGTTGAGTGTCTGAAAAAAGAATTTGAAATGAAAGATCTCGGCAAGACAAAATTTTCTCTTGGCCTACTGATTGAGAATTTGTCAAATGGAATACTTGTTCATCAATCAACGTACACAGAAAAGATAAGCATTTTTATATGGATAACTCACATACATTGAGTACTCCAATGGTGGTAAGATCGCTTGACATCAATACAGTACTCCAATGGTTGTAAGATCGCTTGACATCAATACAGATCCTTTCGACCTCAAGAGAATGAAGAAGAGCTTCTTGGTAATGAAACTCCTTCCCTTAATGCAGTCGGGACACTAATGTACCTTGCTAACAATACTCGAACAGAAATATGTTTTGCAATAAGTCTACTGGCAAGATTTAGTTCCTCCCCAACAAAAAGATATTGGAATGGTGTTAAACACATACTTTGATATCTTCGGGGGACAATGGACATAGGTTTATTCTATGCCAATGAATCCAAGTCAGAATTGATTGGTTACACAGATGTAGGGTATTTATCTGATCTGCATAAAGCTCGATCACAAACAGGATATTTATTTACATGTGGAGACACGGTAATATCTTGACGATCAATGAAGCAAACGTTGATAGCCAATTTTTCAAATCATGCAGAAATAATAGTCATCCATGAAGCAAGTTGAGAGTGCATTTGGTTGAGATCAATGACCCATCATATTCAGGAAATGTGTGGTTTTTCTTTGAAAAAGAATATACCAACCACAATGTACGAAGATAATGCTGCATGTATAGCTCAATTGAAATAAGGATACATCAAAGAAGACCGGACAAAGCATATTTCACCAAAATTCTTTTTCACGCATGATCTTCAACAAAATGGTGAGATAGAAGTTCAACAAATTCGTTCGAGTGATAATCTTGCTGATTTATTCACTAAGGCATTGCTAATATCAACGTTTGAGAAGTTGAGATACAAGATTGGGATGCGCCGTCTCCGAGATATCAAGTAAAGTTTTCATCAGGGGGAGCGAAATACGCGTTGTACTCTTTTCTTTAATTATGGTTTTGTCCCAAGTTGGATTTTCCTGGTAAGGTTTTTAACGAGACAACATATGTGTACACTTTTTCTTTCACTAGGCTTTTTTCCACTGGGTTTTTCCTAGTAAGGTTTTAACGAGACACACAATCTATAAATATTTAAGGGGGAGTATTGTAAATCCATTGTATTGTATATGTGATTTATCCATTAGATTTATCCACTATTAAATGGGTTCATGTATAGGTGCTTCCAAGGTGATAAGAACTTCCAAGATAACTATGTATCTATTAATTATATGACTTTTGGAGTGATATCTCAACACTATAAATAAAGAATCACTCACCATTTGGAAGACACACTTGAATAAGAAAAATTATCTCCTCAATCTTATACTTCTTGTCTTTTTCTTTTTATATTCTGAGCTTTCTTTACAATATTTTCTATATTATTATGATTACTTGTATTTATTTGTTGGGTTATTGAAAATTTTACTTTGTTATAAAATTACGAATTGAAGACACGTGAGACTTACATCCTGAAAATCAATAAGACTTACACCCCATATTTTGAGGTAACACCTTACCTTGTATTTCGTCAATTAAACATCTCACCTAGCGTCTCTACCTACAAACACATGCCTTACAATTAAATTTTGATTTTGAGTCTAATTATAGTGAGATTTAATACATCAATAACTCCTTAAACTTGTCAGTTAATTTTATTTCGATATTTGAATTACGACTGGTTCTAGTTGAACACCTGAACACGTTACAAATTAATCATACCGAATACTTGTGATGTCAAGTTTAAATCCCCCCCCCCATGCATTTCCAAGTGTCTACAACATAAATGAGTTAAAGCACTTAGGGGGTCGTCGTATGATAAGATGTACTAGAAAAATTAATGCATGTATTAGGTTTGTGTATTATTATTTTTTTATAGGTGAAGTGGACTTCATGATGGACAAAATGAGGAAAACAA